AGAACTACAAATTCATAGTAAAAGTCTCAAATTATGCAGAGAGATTAAATAACCTAAGAAAAATAAAAGGAATGCCTAATATTTTTGCATCAAATATAAATGATCTTGTTGGAATGTATTCACAACCAATCGAAAAGTAATGAGATTCGACACAATTACTGTTAGATTTCTACAACAGATGAAACATGTTGACAGTTGTTTAAACTATCTTCGTTTATGGGATCAATACTTCGAAAATTGTAAGAGATTACTAATCAAAACTAAAAATAAAATGCTCAGCGAACTTATAAAAGAAATGCATGTATTTGTCTGATTGGAAATCTCTGCAATGGCCTTCGTAAAGCTGAATTACTATTGTTCCAAGCTTGTATTAGTTAAATTCGTCCACGTGGTTTACTATTAATCTATGAAATACCCTGTATTTGCCGATACCCATTAAATAGCAAGAAAGTACTAAAACTTTTTTTTTGATATTTTAGAAACGGGTTCAAAGTTCTTGTCTTAGATTGTCTAGCACATCTCTTTTGTCGCGTGAGTGAAGTATTTGATTTAGATATTCCATAAAATGGGATAGAAGAACTTGAATTATTTATTCAAGCTTTATGGACATAACTATGAAAAAAAGTTCTCATTATAATGATTCAAATGAACCTGTACTGAATTATTTATCATTGGTACTGTGCTAATTTTTATTTATTTCTTTAAAAAAAAATAACAAATCGATTTCAATTTATTAGTTATTCAATTACGTCAATAAATTTATATCAATTTAAATTAATAAAAATTTTTGTTATAGAAATGATTTGCAGAATTATTTAGATAATATCAAAAATGTAAATGTAATGATAATAAAAAAAAGCAATAACTATGATTGCATTATTTAAAAAAAATGAAAAAAGCTCAGAGTAAAAATATTGAAAAAAAAGATTTATATAAGTAATTAAATCAACAAGGTCGAGATCAATATTATTAAAAGTTCTTTAAGAGGATTTAAAAATAAGGAATTAAAAAAAAAAAAACTATATCTCATTTAAAAATGGCGGATCAAAGACCCATTATTCTTTGGTCCCATCCGAGGTCTCTTTCTACAGTTTTTGAATGACTGTTTCTTCAATATCCTCAAGAATTCCATGCTATCCATGAACCACTCAATCAAATTGGTCGTGCTTATATGACCAAAAACCTTGAATTTTTGAATCAAACTGCATTACCTAAACCTACTGATCCCATCACTTTTGTACATCATTTCTCGCCTACTCTTAATAAATTCTTTTCCCACATTACTATAATGATGATAAATCATATACTTTAAGAGTTTTTGTTAAAGATCATGCATCCAACTTTTTAGAAGCATTTGAAGGAAACTTAGAAGAAAACCTATTAGGATCCAAGGAAATTCTTTCAAAATTTAAACATACGTTTATAATTAGAAATCCAGAAAAATCTGTAAAGTCATTTTATGAAGCTGCAAATTCTACATGTAAAGCTTGGGATGAAGCCTACGTACCTAACTCTGAAAGATATGACATTTTTTTTTCTAAAAAAGTTTGGCTCAAAGATTTAAGGATTCTTCATGACTTAATTAAGAACGTAACTGGAGAGAAGGTAGTATTAGTAGACGCTGGTGATTTAGTTCGAGAACCAGAGAAAATTTTGAGAAAATATTGTGAGATGGTCAACATAGAGTTTAAGAAAGAAATGCTTGAATGGAAAAAAAAAAAGTTGAAAATATGAAATTTAAAATTGTCAGGACCAAATATAGATTATTTGTGGCATAAGTATGTTTTAGACCGCTCCAAATTGCTTTTATG